TTTTACAGACTTTAAAGTAAACAACAGTTTAGAAATGTAACACTTAATCAAAAGCACTGAGTATGTAGTAGAATAAGCATGTAGGTACTGTTTCACCAAAGTGTCACATTGATAAAATAAATCCAACACAAACATTACAGTAAAAGGATATCAAAGTCTTAAAATTAGATCTTTAAAATCTGTTTTACACCTGCAGTGAAAACACTTCTGTTTGAAATCAACTTGCCCCTCTGGCCAGACTTTTGGCCTTCTGGACGCTAATCTGGGGATCAACTTCAAGCCCAGTTAATTCAATATTCAGCCCAACTGTATAATAGGAGCATTTTTTAAAACCTCTCTACATCCCCATGAACTTCAGAGCAGGTTACGTCTGAGTGATGTGCAGCTATATCCATGAAAGGTCTGACATGGTCTTTCAGAATGCTCCCACTCTAATCTGGGATTATACTTTATGTAATCCACGACTGTATGGCTGTCTCAGAACAAATTAGCATCTCCACACTGCAGTCTATCCTTTTAATCTAGAGTGCAAGCAAAGGTTACACTGCACCATACGCAGAGCCACAATCTGTGCAACTGAGAGACAATGAGATCAGTCTTTTCACTTTATCTCAGGGACACCATACTGATACAATATCATACTGATGGTTTCATTTCTTCATTTTGAGGTCAGCTTCTATGGCACTACGGCGCCCTCTGGTGCCTCCATCCTGCAGTGGAAGTGGGGGGAAAAACGTTTAGTCTGAGCTTTAAGAGACTAGATGAAGTATTTTTAATAAAACCTTCTTTGTTTGTTTGTCTTCTTTGTTTGAATATATGTAACTGCAGTTTTAAAGGTAGTAAAGAGGGTACTTACAAAAAGAGAAAGAAGGAAGGCAGGGGAAGACATGGACACAGTGTCCTGTAAGAGGAACATGACAGATAAGAGCTGCAACTCAGTAGTGTGCTGAAAATCTCAAACAGGAGCAAAATAATACAAAGAGAGAGACAACACAGTACATTCAGCTAGAGGAAAACTGGAGACAAGCTTTAAAAACACACATTAACTGCTATAACACTAGTACTACATTTACTATGTTTTGTTGCTGCCCTGCCATTACATTACAGGACGATGCCACATGTTTAGCTCAGGATCTTTATATCATGTAAGCTACAGATATACAGAATACTGTTGTCAAGCCACTTTTCAAGGTACTGCAGGACATTTCAGTCATCTCCTACCTTTCAGTGATTTAGAGGTTCCCATTAACATCAGTATGCTATGACCCATCATTATTTAACTCTTTAAACTTTCCTATCTTCAAATGGGTTATCTCTAATCAGAATATCTAAAGAAACAGAAAAAGACATTCTGCCAGACTAGATGACCGGGAGGAAAAATACTTTTTTTCACCAAATACTTTGGGTGTAAGTAACATTGAAAGTCAATGTTAAAAATGAAAAAATATGTATTTTATATAGTATGGTCTGTAGCATAAGTGTTATAAAATCATTATTAGGTTAGCAGTTCTTTATGCAGTGCTTTTTGTCACAGAAACATCTTTTATAAATCAAACTAAAGCTGATTGAACAGTAGCTTCAATTCATTAGACCTAATATCGAGCAGTCTGCTTTCTTATTAAACACTCATTGAATGCTTTGGATAAACTATAAGTACATGAAGGCTTCAGACAATAACTTGAGGTTACTCTATTCCGTAACCTCTGTTCTCTGATAACATGAGTGAGGTAAGATAAGCTCACCTCTTCCTCGCTTCGTGCAAGGAGGGGTATCTGGTGAGACACCTCACTCATGTTATCAAAGATATGCAGACTCCCATATTGCCAGATAAGCCCATCTGAACGACTGACTGCCAACTTAGGAGGTCTCGTGGGGTCATCTCTAGCCCACACTTAACACAGTCAAACGTCAAAGGTGAAGCCCAGCTCGCTGCACATATCTCCTCTATAGAGACACTCCTAAAAAGGGCCCAAGAGGTTGCTGTGCTGGAATAAGCCAATTGGATTGCCTCAGCATCTAGGCACTCCTGTTCAGGGGAGGAGAAAGGAGGAGGGCAAAAAGCTTCCAGCTCCAATGGGGTGCATTGGAGATAAGGATTTTGGGGCACAAAGGCCGGATTTGGCCTGAGCGTGACTCTAGAGTTATCCCTCGTGAATCGGGTGCACTCTTTGTGTATTGACAGCGCATGAATATGCTTCGCAGATGCGAGAGCCAGGAGCAATGCAGTCTTCAAAGACAGGATTTTTATTTCCACCTGGTTTAGTGGTTCAAATGGTGGCTGTGAAACTGCCCCCAGCACCAGGGATAAATCCCACGTGGGAACGAGAGGTTTAGAAACCGGGAGGAGTCGTTGTGCCCCTGTCATAAAACAGCGGACTAGCGGGTGATGGCTCACTGGGCCATCCACGAAGCCCACATGGCAGGCTGAAATGGCTGCTAGATATACTTTAATTGTGGAAAAGGCCTTTCCTTTATCTAACAGTTCCTGGAGAAAGGAGAGAATTGTTGTCACAGAGCACTGAAAGTAGAGAGTGTGAGACTTTCCACACCACTCCTCAAATAATCTCCACTTGTTCTCATACAATGATCTTGTGGAGGGGGCTCTAGCATTCTGAATAGTGGCTATAACACCCTGGGTGAGTCCTCCCATACTCAGATTCAACCTCTCACAGGCCAAGCCCACAGGGTGAGGGTGAAAAAAAATCTCCCCCCTGGCCTGGGAGACTAGGTCTCGTCACAGAGGAGAGGCCAAGGTTCGCTCCACAAGAGGGGCATAATCTCCGCTAACCAATGGGACCATCATCCACCTTGGGGCGATCAATATTATTGTTAGCCCCCTCTCTCTCACTCTGGTTAAGAGTGGGAGAAATTAAGGCCAACGGAGGGAACGCATAAAGCAGAACATGTGGCCAATTGTGAGCTAATGCATCTACCCCTAGCGCAGCCTCCTGGTCCCTCAGGGAGAAATACAGTGGACACTGAGCATTCTCCCTCAAGGAAAACAGGTCGACCTGTGACTGGCCAAAGCGGGTCCAGATATGGGTCACCACCTGTGGGTGCAGGGTCCAGTCCCCGTACTGCGGGTTTCCCCTGAACATTAAATCTGCTCCCAAGTTCAGAGCTCCTGGAATGTGAGCAGCTCTCAGTGACAACAAATTGATGCTGCTACACATGATCAGTTTGCGAGCAAGCATGTGCAAAGGACGGGACTGTAACCCGCCCTCTGTCAATGTACGCCACAACAGTGGTGTTTTCTGTTCTGATCAGAACATGGTGATTTCTTAACAGTGGAAGGAAGTGTCTCAGTGCTAGAAATGCTGCTAGCAATTGTGGCCAGTTTATGTGAACACCCCTCTGTCGTGAGTCCCAGTTGCCGCTCACTGCTCTGCCCTCATGAGTGGCACACTAGCCCGTGAGACTCGCGTCCGTGGTCACCACCTTTCTGGCTGTGAAAGCCCCAGTGACACCCCCAAAGTGAAAAATGTGGGATTTCTCCAACAGTGGAGTGCTGCAGCGCAATCTGCTGTCACTCTGATATGGTGGTGGGTATGGTGCTTTTGATTCAGTCTCCGTGATGCAACCCATTGCTCAAACTCCCTTATATGCAGTCTGGAATGACTGCCAGTGAAGACACCATTAATCCCAGCATCTGCAGGCATCTTCTGAATGGGAGATATCTTCCCACCTGAAAAATGCTGGCATGTCATAGCATTTTTTTGACTGTAATCACCGAGAGACACGCTCTGTGCGAGGTGGAGTTTAGAGCTATTCCTATGAAAGAGATGGCCTGAGCTGGCTGCAGGACACTCTTTTCATAGTTTATGGTGAAACCCAGAGCCATCAGGTGATCCACTGTCAACCTGGTGTGCTCTCTTCCCATTATTTCTGACTCTGATAGCAGCAGCCAATCGTCGTGTATGTTGCTATGCGGATGCCCCGCCTCTTCAGTGGGGCTATGACTGCCTCTGTGCATTTCACAAATACCCGAGGGCTCAGTGAGAGACCAAACGGCAGGACCTGGTACTGGTACATTCTGCCCTGAAACGCAAATCACAGAAAGTTTCTGTGAGGCGAGTAAATAGGTATGTGAAAATATGCGTCCTTCAGGTCTATTGATGTAAACTAATCACCTGGGCGAACTACATGCAGCAGAGTGGTGGTTGTCAACATCCTGAATTGGTATGACCTCAGATGCTGATTCAGAGCCCGTAGGTCCAGTATCGGACGCAGTCCCCCTCCATTCTTGGGCACGAGAAAATACTTTGAGTAAAAGCCGCATTGGCTCTGCTCCTGCGGTATTTCTCGTTCTGCTCCCTTTGATAGCAAGGTAGATATTTCTTCTTGCAGAATCCTGGCTGATTCGCCTTTTGCAAGAAAGAAAATCCCTCTGTGAAATCAGGGAGGGGTGGTTGCAAATGGTAGCTTCGCTCTAATGTCCTCACAATCCATTCTGGCGTAGCGAGAGCTCGCCATCTCTCTATTCTTGCTGACAGCGGCCCCAAAGTCAGGCACTCCACAGTAGACGGGGCTTTGGCTCTCTCCTGTGGTGGAAACTGGTCCTGCGGGCCAGACCCGACTGCGCATACGTGGGCGGACCTGCGCTTGACCAGTGTTCATGGGGCCGGACACCACTGAGGAAATCGGCCCCGGTGGTGTCTAGGGTTGTGAGGGCATTATGTTTTTCAACATATCTGTTTGACTCAGCTGAACAGTGTCTCGTCGTCTCTTTGTTGGAATGCGCTCTGTGGGATCCAACTCGAGTCCCATGCGCTGAAAGATGGCGGCAGAATACTCCTCCGAACGGGCTCCGGAACTGAGGCCTGAAGTGAACTTGGAGGCCGGGCTGGTCCCGCTCAGATCTTCGCGTGGGGGATGTTAGACAGTCCTTCTTCTGGGGTCAGCGGGGGAGCTGGCCCCTCCCTTTCTTCCCTCCCCATCCTCAGCTGCCTCCCTATCCTCAGCTGCCTCCCTATTCCCGCTCTACCACACCCACCCACACACGCAGGGCTTGGGGTGCAGGTATGTCACCAGGGTGCAGGGGAGGCACTCCCCCT